GATAGAGAGAGAGAGAGAGAGAGAGACTGGGGGAGTGAGGGGGCGGCGGGGGGGGGGGGGTGCGGAGGAGACAAAGATTTTTCATAATGAAGCTAAAAACAGACAAAAACTTTGAGCACATCGTGAAGTAGCAGCTAATGGTCCATAAAATGCCGAAAATGGAAAAGCGTTTATTCATGTTTATCTTCAGAAATCTATTCACATCTGAGGAGCTGATTTCATCAGACGTTTTCATTCCCACAAAACTCAGCCGACACTAAAACAGAAGAGGGCGCCGATGAATATAAAAGTCAATTAGTCATTAATTAATCAACTATTCTTTGCAGTAGTAATGACTTCTCTCTTCCTCCTCCTCCTCTCTCTCTCTCTTCTTCGCCCACTATCATTCTGAACAAGGTTCCATTAAATAATTACCTCCAAATAAAACCAGCCAGGCAGGAGTCAGCGGTCCTGGTAATAATGTATATAATGGAACATGTGAGGTATTCAGACAATAGTCCAGGACCAGGACCAGGACCAGGACCAGGACCAGGACCAGGTCCAGGTCCAGGTCCAGGTCCAGGACCAGGTCCAGGTCCAGGACCAGGACCAGGACCTCTTCCTCTGACTGGTGTTTGTTCAACTCTTTGTTCACTGATGAATATGTGCATTTCCTCAGTCTGTAATTAGCCTCGTAGCACAACTACCAAAGTCATATTTTTGCCAAATTGCGACACCTGTATATCAGACTATATTCTCTTGACGCTGGTGATTCACAAAGAAGGAAACTTTTTCACAAGTTCATTTTATGGGTTGAATGAAAGAAAACTTTCCCCTTTTTTCCCCCCTGAAAACCTTGAAATATAACTTAGCAATTATGCTACGAGGCTAAGGCTACGTTACTTTTTAAATGTCACTGTATTAAATGCTGTCTGATTTTTACGACCTCTCTGTTTGCATGTCGGTGGTGACCTGGAGGTTGTCTCTGTTTAGTCCTAGCAAGGTCATGACCTTTTGTTAATCGTATTTAGACCTAGCATCTCAGGCTACTTTACGTTTGTGTTTTTGGACCAGTGGATCCCAAACTGTTTTTTTAGCTAGTTTTGACTTGTGTGGAGTTACAGCTAACTTTTTTTTTTTTTAATCTTTCTGACTGTTTATCCTACCTTTAGTTTCTTACTTTCCGGTTAGCTTAATAACTGATGTCTTGGCTAATCCTTATTTCTGTTTTTACTATTTTCTAACTTGCTAATTTTTTGGCTAATTCCGAGCCACTTCTGTCTCAGCTTTTCATCATCAGGTTAAATGTTTTTTCTGGGCTTTCCAGGATTTAATTGATCTCAAAGCTATGTTTAAAAGATCTACTAGGCTAAATTGTTTAGCTAGGCTAATTATTATGTTAGGATTAGGATTAAAGTTCAGATGTCTGGGCTTCTTTTGGAAACTGTGAGATTATATTTATTATTATGATTGTAAACAATTATACTCTTTTATAATCAGGCAATTGTAAAAACTTGATTTTTAGAGTTTTATGGCTAACATTAAAGACTTGACAGGTTCGGGTTTATCTGTCTTCTCCCCTGCAGCTTTTTCGTGTAAATTTAACGACTCAGATGTTGACTTTTATCTAAATTCGACGAAGTACGTACATTTTTATCTCCCCCTCCTTCGGCT